CAGGGGGTGGCACACGGTGACAGAGCCCACAAGATGCCACCTCCTGCCTCTGGGGTTTCTCACACCTCATCTCCAGAGCCCAGAGAGTGAAGAAAACTCAGAAGTGCCAAACATCAAAGGTTGGGCTTGATGATCTTGGAGCCTTTGTGGGCCTGGATGGATCCGGGATGGTGACGGGAGCGGAGGCTCCAGCTCAGGGCAGACACTCGGGGAGGTTTTGTCTCAAAAAGCTTCCAGATCAAACATCAGTGGCAAGGGATGGATCCCCTGCCCGGAGAGGGCTGCTCAACACTCTTAAAATAACACATTTCGGGGCCAAGGCTTAGTGAAAAAAAATAGCAGGGGCTTCCAGAGCCGGCTGAGGTTTTCATCCGGCGCAAAACAACAAAAATCTCCTCCCCGTTTTCCTCGAGGAGGTTCTGCAGGAGGTTAACCAGAGGATGCTGAGGGCAGAGCCCAGCAGAATTCCCACTGTTCATGCAGCTCCTCCTTGCCAGGAGGAAGGGGATGGCTGTGAACACCCCCTAAATTCTGGCAGGGTTTAATTCAAACCCAGGCAGTGCCTCCTCTCCATCCGTCGTTCCTCCAGTGGGACACAGCATCCCCTGCGCTGTGGGAGCCTCTTCCCAAAATCCTGCAAGCCCAGCCCATGGCTGCCCATGTCCCTCCCCATCTCTCCAGCCCCAAGGATGCATTTCCTCTCCTAAGACTTTAATATCCCAGGCAGACGAGCAGCAGGAGCCAAGATTAAAAAGGTCTCGTTCCTAAATTCAACTGGAAAATCAAATTCCTGCTTCCCAAACCTGCCCAGGAGCAGAAACCCCCAGCCCGCTGCGGAAATCCTCCCAGCCACCAGAGTGACCTTTCCAAGGCTCTCCTGCTGCATCCAAGCCTGGAAAACTCCCAGTTTTTAATAACCAGCCTCATTTTGCCTTGTTAAGGCAAACCCCCGGAATGAGAGCGGGAAGTTCCGCTCTGGGGGTGCCTCTGGAAGTCCTGGGGCAGGATAAACCCAGCCCTCACTGAGCAGGAGCTTCCAGAGGCTCTGGCTGAGCCCAGCCTTGGCATGGCCACAGCACAGATCCCAGCCAGGGCTCTGTGACCTCTGGAAAACACGGAATGTCACCCATTCAGGAGCAGTGACACCCAGCACGGGGACATTCCCTGCCTGGAAAAGGCACCAGGACCCAGCTGACCCCAGACAGATTCCAGCAGTGCTGCCCAGTGTCAGCCAGAGCCCAGAAATGCCAGGGCTTATCAGGATAACTGGGATTATCAAGGTAACTGGGGTTATCAGGATAATTTGGGTTATCAGGATAACTTGAAACATGATCCAAAGTACCTTTTTGGAGCATTGTTCCGGGCCAGCAAAAGGCCACCAGGCCGTGTCTGGAGACTGGGAAATATCCCTGTATCTCTTGGATCAACCTGTCCCAATTCATCCTAGATCAATGGTCCAAACTCCCCCTGGATCCAGCCTGTCCCTGTTAATCCTGGATCAGCCTGTCACAACTAATCCTAGATAACCTGTCCCAACTCCCCATGGATCAGCCTGTCCAAATTCATCCTGGATCAACCTTTCCAATTGCTTGTGGATCAACCTGTCCCAATTCATCCTGTCCCAATTCATCCTGGATCAACCTGTCCCAATTCATCCTGGATCAATGGTCCAAACTCCCCCTGGATCCAGCCTGTCCCTGTTAATCCTGGATCAGCCTGTCACAACTAATCCTAGATAACCTGTCCCAACTCCCCATGGATCAGCCTGTCCAGATTCATCCTGGATCAACCTTTCCAATTGCTTCTGGATCAACCTGTCCCAATTAATCCTGGATCAACCTGTCCCAATTCATCCTGGATCAGCCTGTCCAAATTCATCCTGGATCAACCTATTCCAATTCCTTCTGGATCAACCTGTCCCAATTAATCCTGGATCAAGCCTGTCCCAATTCCTTCTGGATCAACCTGTCCCAGTTAATCCCGGATCAACCTGTCCCAACTCCCCCTGTCCAAACCCAGATCCCCGCCTACCCAAGCCCAGCTCTGCTGCTGCATCCCAGTGATTCCCATGAATAAACTGCTGCTTTTCCTGCCCTCTGGAAAGGCAGCACTGACACTTCTGGCTGTCCCCAGCCCTGATCCATGGCTGCCTTTAGGCTGGGTTGTTTTTGGCCCCTTACTCGCAGCAGCTCCATCCCCAGTGGCCTCCTCCACATGCCCGGCACATTCCAGCCTGGAGTGGGACAATAAAGGCCGCCCGGATATCAGCACGTGTTAATGGGATGTAATTCAGGCCTGGGGCTCAGAGCCCTGTAAAAGAAACCCCACCAAAACCCAAACACACACGCAGGTTCACAGGGCCAAAGTCCAAGCGGAGTTCAAGTGTGTGCAGCTCCTTTCATCCGCTCCAGGCCCCGCCGTTAACAACGAGGTCTGGAAGGCGGCGAATTCCCCCGGAATTCAGGTAATAAAACTCAGATTGGGCTGAAACCCAGCACGGAAGGAGAGCAGGGAGAGCTCCTCGTGTGGGACCCCGGGAATGCCTCCCTGGGTCCATCCCAGGAGGGGCTGGGAGCTCCCCCGATCCCGGGAGCGCGGCCGCGGCTGCGAGCGCTGCTGCCAGATCCTCGCGATTATCACAAAATGAAATGTTCAGCCCTTGTCAGCGGCAGCCCCGTGTTTGTGATGTTACAAAAACCCCATTTCCTCTCCCGTTGTAGCCAGGCCTCCTCCGTTCCCGCTGGTGAAATCAAACAATTTTAAAGGAATTTATATGATCCTAATTTAAACCGAATGGATGGAGCTGCCAATCGCGGCTCCGTGGGCCTCCCGCCAGCTCCGCTCCTTTCCAGAGCTCTGAGCACATCCAGGGAGGGAAAACACCCACCCATCCATCCATCCATCCATCCATCCATCCATCCATCCATCCGTCTGTCCATCCATCCATCCTGGGGATACTGGGAGGGACACTCTTGTGGAAAGCATTTGGAGCAGACACTGGATAAATCAAGCTGCACAACCCTGCATGCCTGCCTGATGACAGGGACACGCTGCCCTTGGATGTAAATAAGTTTTCCAAGATGTACCCCAGGAAAAGGGATGTGAAGCAGGATGTTCTGAGGATGAGAAGAGAAGAAATGGGGCAAAATATTCTGCTGACACTTTTGCCAAGCTCTCTGCCCCTGCCCCTGAATTCCAGCAAAGCTGCAAATCCCTCCTGGAGAGAAACTCCAGAGCCTCTCCCAGCTGTGCTGGGATGAGATGAAATCCAAATATTCAGTGGGAGTGGGAAAGGCAATTCCTGATTTAAGGCACAGCCAGGGAGGTTCAGTTCATCAGCTCATCCTTCACAGACACAACCACTGGAAAAGGTGAGGGAGGCACCAGCCAAGTTTGGGCTGGATTTAAAATCAGTTTAGGACGCAAAATTCATGGAATTGCAGTGCACAAACTCTTGCTTTTTTATTCCAAAAGTGGGGAATCAACCCAATGTCTCCAGGTCTGCCAGTAGCACCAATTCCCTATGCAGGGAAGTGGAAAATACAAGTGAAAAATGGAGTTATGGGGAATTGTGATGCCTCAGGTTTGAGCTTTTCTATTTTCAGGTTCTGTGCTGCTTTAGTGTGTGGGTCTGAGCTCCATATGATGGGATGCCGAGCTCTGTGCACAGAGCAGGGAGACAAAACAATTCCTGCTCCAGCTGGGCACCAAGGACAAATGATCCAAATCTCAGCCCAAGAGCACAAACACCGTGGGCTGGAGAGAGAAAAACAAGCAGGGTGGGACTGCCTGGGCTAAAGCTGGAATGGGACAATGAACTGCAAGGTGCAAATGGAGCAGAACTGATCACAGTGACAGACCCCAGGAGCGCTCGTGCATTTTGGGACCATTTTAGTTCATCTTGGGTTCATTTTGGGACCATTTTGTCCATCTTGGGTTCGTTTGGTGACCATTTTGGTTCATCTTGGGTGCAGCCCTGGCTGGGCTCTTGTGCTGCCCAGGGTGGATCCATGGAGTTTATTGTGGGGTCACAATAATGGGGTTCCTTTTATAAATCCCTGCTTTATTCTGTAACTCTGTCCAGCCTCAGCTCTAGGGCAGCCTTCACAAGGCATCAGTTTCACCCCCAACTGCACCTCCCAGAGTGCCACAAAATCATGGAAAACTCTGGGAGAAGCCAAGGACACAATGGATCCTCACTTCTCAACAGCCTAAAACCCAGGATAAACTCCAGAATGAAATCCAAGATAAAAGTCCAGGAGCAACCAGGGAAGGAACAACCACTCCTCACCCAGCAACAAAATACCAAACTCATCCCAGAGCCTTGGCTTGGAGAAGCAGAACTTCCACACAACGAATGAACCTCCAACCTCTTCCCAAAAAACTGGGGGCTCCCACCAAAAGCCCCCAAATCCCACCTGTTTCATGGCAGTCTCACTGATCTCAATTACCCCCAAAGGCCCCCAAATCCCACCTGTTTTGTGGTGGTCTTGCACACCTTGTTTTCCACCAAATCCCACGTGTTCCATGGCAGTCTGATCTCAAACTCCCCCAAATTCCACCTCTTTCATGGCAGTCTCATTGTTCTCAATTCCCACCAAAGGCCCCCCAAATTCCACGATTCATGGCGGTCTCACCATCCTTTTTTCCCACCAAATTCCCCCAAATCTCAGCTGTTCCATGGCACTCTGATCCCAAATCCCCCCAGACGTTCCCAAATCCCACCTGCTTCAAAACAGTCTCACCAATCTTGTTTCCCCCCAAATCCCACCTGTTTCATGGCAGTCTGATCTCAATTCCCCCAAATCCTACCTGTTCCATGGCAGTCTCACTGATCCTGATTCTCCACAAACACCCCCAGATATCCCACCTCTTCCATGGCACTCTGATCTCAATTCCCACCAAATTCCACCAAATCCCACCTGTTTCATAGCAGTCTCACTGATCCCAATTCCCCCCAAATCCCACCTGTTCCACGGCAGTCTGATCCCAAATCCCACCTGTTTCATGGCGGTCTCTCCGATCTTGTCCGAGTGCTTGCGGATGCTCTCCAGGAAGTCCTTGAGGTCGGACATGGAGAGCTCCTTGATCTCCTCGCGCAGCCGCGGGATGTTGTCCACCATCACCTTGCAGAAGCGGTAGTGGCTCACCTGGGGCAGGAACGTGTGCTCCAGGTGCTCCAGGGTCTTCAGGGCCGGGTAGTGCCTGGGGGAGCAGGGAAAGGTCAGCAATGTCAACCTGGTTTTTTAAGATTTTCTAAGCCTTCTGATGCTGACATTCTTGTAGCAAACTTTCTCGCACACTTTCTGTAAATAGCTCATTGTTTTGCATTCCTGTATGGAGGAGGAGAAAGTTGATGGACTGTTGGTTTGACCAATGTCATTGGAGAGGTGGCGCTGTCACCCTCCAATCTACTGTCACTTTTGGAAAACTATAAATGTTGGAGTCAAAAATAAACTTCTCTTTCTTCTTCACCTTGAGAACAGCGGTGTGAGCTTGTGTTCTTTCGTGTCCTACAGCGACACAGGAACCCTGCTGGAACCCTGCTCTGGTGGAGCCCAGGGCTCAGGGAACGTTCCTCTGCCTGTCCGGAGATGTCCTCACCCCCAGGAGAACATTGCACTGCTTTAACCTTCCATGGAGAAAGCTGCCTAGATTTTGGGATGAATTGGAATCTACGAGTGTGTGAAATACAGTAATATAGTTTATCATAGTCTGAAAAACTAAATTTTTGGGTTTTTAGTATGGAGGTGTGTTGCAGACATCTTTTTATGGAAAATCCTTTCCTTAGGATTTTTCCTCCTGAGAAGCTGAGAGGCCTCAGGAACAAAATGTAAACAATGGTTATCTGCTGCTGTGGAATGCAACAGGTGCATCTGTGATTGGCCCATGTTGGATGTTTCTAATTAATGGCCAATCACAGTCAGCTGGCTCAGAGAGAGAGTCTAAGGCAGCTGCCTTTGTTATCATTCTTGGCTATTCTATTCTTAGCTGGCCTTCTGATGAAGCCTTTTCTTCTATTCTTTTAGTATAGTTTTAATGTAATATATATGATAAAATAATAAATCAAGCCTCCCGAAACATGGAGTCAGATCCTCATCTCTTCCCTCATATCCTGGGACCCCTGTGAACACGGTCACAGAGGTGGATAAAAGATGGAGGATTTGGGGCATTGCCTGATCTCCTTCTTGTTCTTCATTTCCTTGGGGCCGGTCTCTTCTCCCAAGCAATCACGGAGAAGACAAGAGGACATAGCCTCAAGGTGTACCAGGGGAGGTTCAGGCTGGTGATTAGGAGGAATTTATTCAGAAAAAGGGTGATGAGATACTGGAATGGGCTGCCCAGGGAGGTGGGAGATCATCCCTGGAGGTGCTCAAGCAAAGACTGGACATGCCATGGTCTGGTTGGCATGGTAGTCTTTAGTCCTAGGTTGGACTCAATGATCTCAGAGATCTTCTCTAACCATTTTCTGCTGTGTTGGTGGCACAGGGAGATTGGTCACAAAGAGCCACAATGCAGATGTTGTGTGAACAAAGAAATAATTAGTTATTGGTAGAAAGGTAGAAATAAAATACATTCTAAGAGTTAACTGGACAAAATAGTTTTAAAAAAACCTTAAACCTGTGTGTCTTGTAACTTTTTTAGTGCCTTTCTCTTTGTATACCAAGTCTAGAATGTAGATGGCGAGCTGAACTGTTGTAAGAGAAAAAATAACAACCTGAAAACCAAAAAACCCGTAAGTCCCGTTCATCTCTCAACTCTCAATTCTAGAACTTTTTTAAGTCTCCCCCTCAGTGGGAATTGTCACAGTTCTGGTTCACCCATTTGTGATTTCACCAATTTTGAGATTTCCCAGCCCAATGCACCAAAGAGAGGTGGGTTCACTGCTGGCCAATCCCCCGGGCACTCAATTTCTGCTCTGAGACAGGATTAGGAGAAAGGCAAAGCAGGATCAAAACCTTAAAAGGGTATTAAAAAATTATTATCACTTATTTTACTATCAGCTGTGCATCACTTCCCTAAATGTCTCCTGTGCAAAACCATGACGCCTGGTTACTGAGAATTTTAGGCTCTCTGTGCTAACAGAATTCAGGAGAGAACCTTGGGAATGCCCAGGGAGCCAGGGACTGACCCAGAGAGACAAACACCCACTGGGGGCTGATATTCCAGGGAATTCTCAGGTCCCATTCCTCCCACAAACCCCATAATTTTAGTTCTATTGTTTAATTTTGGAAGCTTTTTTTGGGAGCAGCTCCCAGAGGGGAGATGAGCTGTGTCCCAGGCCCGTGTCCCCAGGGCTGAGGGGGAAAAGCAGAATTTGGATAAAATCCAGGGCCAGGGGGGCCTTTTTGGGGTGATTTTCCTGTTCCTGTCGGGGATTTCTCAGCTCCCAGCAGGATGAACATTCCCAGAGAATCCACGGAGCATCCAGGTCTACAAGGGAGCTGGAGATGGACTGGGGACAAGGCCTGCAGGGACAGGAGCCAGGGAATGGCTCCCAGTGGGAAAGGGGAGATTGGGCTGGGATCTTGGCAAGGAATTGCTGTCTGGGAGGGTGGGCAGGGGCTGGGCTGGAATTGCCAGATTTGCTGGGGCTGCCCCTGGATCCCTGGCAGTGCCCAAGGCCAGGTTGGAGCACCCTGGGTGTGGAAGTTTTGCAGTTGGGTGATCTTTGGGGTCTCCTCCAACCCAAACCCTTCCAGGATTTTACGATTCCATTTCTCACTGCTTGGAGACCACACAGAGCCAAGGGTAAATAAAAAGGTCTGATCCCTCCAGAGCATTCAGATCCCTCCAGAAATTTTGGGGTTTTCCACCATTTTCCACACAGCCATGTTAAAAAAAAAAAAAAAAAAAACAAAAAAACTTTTCTGTTCCTTCCTTAAATTTTGGCCAATTTAGAGAAAAATTCTCTCCTTTCACCCTGATCATTGCTCTGGGATCAGCTCTACCTCCAGTTCCTGGTCATGGATTCTCCATTTGGGAACAGCCTGAGCTGGTTTAGAAACTTTCCCTATTTCCTTCTGTCTGTGGAGTTTATTCTCCAAAACTGATCCCAAACCCTGATGGCAGGACCCCTCCCATGGCTGCACATCCTGAAATGATCCAAGTGAGACCTGGAGCAAAAAAAAACATGGAATATCTTGTGCTGTGTCTGTTCAATGGAGCCATCAAATCCAGACAAAAAGAAACAGAAAAAAAAACCAGCCAGGGCTCCCAATATTCCTGAAATGTGGATTTCAGCGTGGGTTTGGTCACAAATGAACCAATCCAAATAATGGAGGGGGAAAAAGGGAAGCAATTCTCAGCTGCAGCCCCTGGAAATGCTGCCCAGAGGGAGGGCATGGAGCAGCTGGAGGATTCCCTGCAGGAATTCCCAGGGATCAGCTCCAGCTCCCACCCCACATCTGCCACCCTCAGGGCTCCAAAATTGCTTTTTGCTGCTCAAACTAACCAGGATTCCTGCCAAAATCCCAGATTTTCATCCCTCAGCAGATGCAGGGTGGGGAAACTCCTGGATTTACAGCCCAGCATTCCTGAGGCATCAAGTGTTGAGGAATTATTTCTACACAAGTTTTCTCCCCAATTCCCACCATCCTGATGTTCCCAGCTCTTTGCCTCCCCCCCCCATTCCCTACCATCTCTCACATTGGATTAAGATTTGTTTTATGGCATTCATGGAATAAAATTTAGTTGGTAAAACATCTTGGTTATATGTACAATATTGAGCTGCCATAAAAACCACAGAGCACTCACCCTCATTCCCAAAATCTGAACCTGCTGCCATCCCCAATATTGAGCTTCCACTAAAAAACCAAGGAGCATCCACCTTAATTCCCAAAATCCAAACCTGTTGCCATTCCCAATACTGAGCTGCCATAAAAACCAAGGAGCAACCACCTTAAATCCCCAAATCTGAACCTGCTGCCATCCCCATTGTCAGTTGTACCACAGGAGGATGAGCAGGACTGTGAGGAAAAGCAGCCAAAATCCAGGAAATCTAACCTGAACTGCGGAGATTCTCCTTAAATTACACAGCACCAAAGAATTCCTTGGACTCATCCCCCCTCCCCACATTCCCTGGGATCTCTCAGGTTGGATTAAGATTTGTTTTGTGGCATTCATGGAATAAAATTTAATTGGTAAAACACCTTGGTTGTATGCACTATATTGAGGTGCCATAAAAAACCCAAGGAGCATCCACCCTCATTCCCAAAATCTGAACCAGCTTCCATCTCCAGTATTGAGCTGCCATAAAAACCAAGGAGCATCCACCTTAATTCCCCAAATCTGAACCTGCTGCCATCCCCATTGTCAGTTGTACCACAGGAGGATGAGCAGGACTGTGAGGAAAAGCAGCCAAAAAACCAGGAAATTTAACCCAAACTGCTGAGATTCTCCTTAAATTACACAGCACCAAAGAATTCCTTGGACTCTTCCCCCCACCACATTCCCTGGGATCTCTCAGATTGGATTAATTAATTCCATGGCATTCATGGAATAAAATTTAGTTGGTAAAACACCTTGGTTGTATGCACAATATTGAGGTGCCATAAAAAAACCAAGGAGCACTCACCTTAATTCCCAAAATCTGAACCTGCTGCCATCCCCATTCTCAGCTGTACTACAGGAGGATGAGCAGGACTGTGAGGAAAAGCAGCAAAAAACCAGGAAATTTAACCGAGAAAAGCTGGTTTTGAGCTGCTGGGATTCTCCTTAAATAACCCAGCACCAAACAATTCCTTGGACTCTTCCCCTGAAAGCCCAGCCCAGATTTACCTCTTGGATTTCATCTGCTCCCGCAGCTTGCTGTACATCTCCAGCACTGGGAAGAGAAGGAAAACACAGCTCTGAGACAGGAGCACACAGCTGGGAATCCAAAAAGGAAACAAAAAACTGGGAATTCCACCAAAGAGCTCCAAAAAGGAGGAGGTTCCTCACCAGGGAGACACAGGGTGAGTTTATCCACCGTGGCTGAGATGTTCCTCTGCTGCAGCCGGCACTGCCTCAGCTCCTGCATGGCCAGGATCAGCTGGAAAAAGGGGAAAAGCTCCCTCAGGATCAGCAGCCACCCCTGGGCCCCATCCCAGGAGCAGCAGAGCCCAAACCCTGCTCTGATAAGGGGCGAGCTCGGGATCGGGGCAGCTCCAGCCAGGGAAGTTCCCTGAATTCCCTGGATTTCAAACAGGGAGCAGCAAACCCAAAGGCATCAAACTGGCCTTGGAGCACATCCTGTGCATTCCAAAATGTTATTTCCCCTTCCCAGTTTAGGCATCTCTTCCAAGATTTTTGGTTTTCAAAGGCAGGATGTGGTCGCTTGCTTCCAGGGGATTCTCCTCATCCCAGAGTTAACAGGGATTTCATGAGGCTCCAGGAGAAAATCCTGGGATGGGGAAAAGGGGAAAACAGGGAGGGAATTCTCACATCCCAAAGTGAACAGGGATTTCTCAGGGCTCAGGTTCCAGAGAAAATCCTGGGATGTGGAAGAAGGAAAACAGGGATAACAAGGCCAGGCTGGACAGCGAATTTTCCTCATTTCTAGCTAAGAGGGATTTTTCAAGGCTCAGGCTCCAGAGAAAATACTGAAGATGTGGAAAAAGGAAAAACAAGTGCACAAGGCCAGGTTGGACAGGGAATTCTTACATCCCAAAGCTAAAAGGGATTATTCAGGGCTCTGGCTCCAGAAGAAAATCCTGGGGATGTGGAAAAGGGAAAACCAAGGATACAAGGAGGGAATTCTCACATCCCAAAAGTAACAAGGATTTCTCAGGGCTCAGGCTCCAGAGAAAATCCTGGGGATGTGTAAAAGGGAAAACAGGGATACAAGGCCAAGCTGGACAGGGAATTTTCCTTATTCCAAGCTAACAGGGATTTCTCAGGGCTCAGGCTCCAGGAGAAAATCCTGGGACATGGAAAAAGGAGAACCAAGGCCAGGTTGGACAGGGAATTCTCCCTCCCACACCAGTCCAGGCTGCAATTCCAGGACTGGATCCATCACTTACTTCTTTCCCTTCGTTCTGCAGCTTCCGGTTGGTGTCTGTCACTTGGTTCTGTGGGGATATTGGGAAAAGCACAGAGCACATGCCATAAATCAGGACAATGTTCTTCCCACCAAAACAAACTGTCCATAAACACCATCCCTCCCTCCCTCCCCACGGCTCCCATCCCATGGAAAAGCTGTTTATGGCTGAGTTAACAGCCACTGTCACTGGGGGACAAATCCAGGGATTTCCCTCTTTGCCACTGGAGAGAAGGGAAAGGCAACAGGAATTCATTCAGAGGCATGGAAGCCTCAAAGTGCTGGAATTTTCATGGATCCAGTTTGGAAAAGGACACAAGGCCAGGTTGGACGGGGAATTCTCCTCATTTCAAGTAAACAGGGATTTCTCAGGACTCAGGCTCCAGAGAAAATCCTGAGGATGTGGAAAAGGGAAAAACAAGGACATAAATCCAGGGATTTCCCTCATTGCCACCAGGAGCTTTCCCTACAAATAAATATTTATATTTATGGAATTTCTTATAAAACTTCCTTTGGGATCTTCATCTCCCTCTGGATGGATCCTTGCTCCTGCCTGGTATAAGATATTTTTATATACCTTAGATAAAAAATCTCCCTATTTTTTCTGGATTATCCCACCAAGCTGTGGCTCAGAGCTGGAAAATTTCCACTTGGCAAAGCTGAGGATTCCCTGGAGAGGGAAGAGCCCAGCCCAGCCCTTCCCAGCCCCAGAAGGACATACAGGAGAACAAAGGGGATTTGGGGGCTCATCAGGATGGAAAATCAGGAGTTCTCCTGTTATTCAGCCAATGAGTGGGAAGAGAACTTTGGGAATTCTCCCGAGTTCAGGCTGGGGCAGCTGGAAAAACCAACCCCAACTTCCAAGCCAACATTCCCAGCTCCAGATCTCTGCCAATTCCTGAGGGAATTCCAGCAGGGTTGCTCAGAGTTCTGAGATTTCACATCACTCTGAGATTTCCATGCCATAAAACCCCTTTTTTGCCCCAAAATCTCCTTCTGCAGCTCATAAAGCTGGAAACGTTCATTTCCAAGCTCATTCCTGTAAAAGGTTTTTTCTGATCCAGGTTCTCCCCACAGTGGGAGCTGCTGCTGCATTCCTGCCCCATTTTAGGAACAAATCCCTGCTGATTTCCAGAGTTCTGCTCCTTCTGGAAACAGAACCTTTCCCAGAGCTTGGAAAACACCAAGAGCTGGGAGACAGAGCCCTCAAAGGGCTTCCAGGAGTGGGTGATCTCACAAATCCACCCCAGAGCTTTGCTTCCTTTGGAATAATCCCGGAAACGAGGAATTTTTAACAAATTTCAGCCCAGAGAAGGAACAGCACATGGGGCTCTCCCTTTCTCCAGCAGGATGGGGATGGAGGAGCAGGAGGAGCTCCAAGGGGGATTGGGAAGATAAAAAAAAAACATCCTGGAGGAAAAATCCAGCAAGGAACAGCTGAGGGAGCTGGGAAGGGGCTGCACAATCCCTGAGGGAGCTGGGAAGGGGCTGCACAATCCCTGAGGGAGCTGGGCAGGGGCTCAGCCTGGAGCAAAGGAGGCTCAGGGGGCCCTTGTGGCTCTGCACAGCTCCTGCCAGGAGGGGAACAGGGACAGGAGCAGAGGGAACGGCCCTCAGGGTGGATTATTGGGAATATTCCTCATGGAAAGGGCTGCCCAGCATTGGAAGGAGCTGCAGTGGAGTCTCCATCCCTCAAGGGTTCAAAACCCTGTGGATGTGGCACTTGGGATGGGCCTTGGTGGCGGCTGGACTTAAAGATCTTGAGCAACTTTTCCAACCTCACCAATTCCATGATCCCACAATCTCCGTCCTCTTTGAGCTCACCAGATCAGACAGAAGGAAAACTTTGGATTCATCCACAACAAATTGATTCAGGATCCATTTTTTTGAAACAGATCCTGGACCACCACAGTTTTCCCCTGTTCCAGCCTCCCCCAGGAAGGTTTGTGGTGCTCCCAACAGCAGAATCACCCAACCTCAGAGCTCCCTTCCATTCCCACACCAGCCATGGTGCTTTCCAGCTTCCCAGGATGGAAGAAAGGAGTTCTCCATAATTTCCCCTCCAGCATCTGCATCCCATCTCTGGTCCTGCCGCAGTAGCTGCAGCCCTGCTGGCTGCCTGCCCTCCCCAAAACCTGCTCATTTCCTTTATGGTGTTTGGAGCTTTTACGAGCAGGAGCCCAGCATCTCCTCCAAAGATTATTTGATTTGCTCAGATCCCGAAAATCCCACCAGGAAAAAGGAATCCGTGTCGGGTAATTTAAAACCACTCCTGAACTGAGGCTGGGGCTGGAGGGGTTTGCTGCCAAAATCCCCCAGCAATCCCAGCCCCAGGGAAAAGCAGGGCTGCAGCGGGGCCCTGCACGCCCCAGGGTTTTGGGGGGCAGGGGGTCGTGTTTGGGATTGTTCCTGGAGTCTCCAGGCCTGCATGAACACAGGGATGGTTGTTTACACACACCCCGTGCTGCTAAGCTGGGCTTGGCAGAGCCGGGCTTTGCTAAGCCAGGCCAGACATGCGGAGGGGGATGTGACAGTGGTCACAGGGGTTTTCAGGTGAGGGAAGAGATGAGAATGTTGACTCTATGTTCAGAAGGCTGATTTATTATTTTATGATATATATTACACTAAAACTATACTAAAAGAATCGAAGGAAAAGCTTCATCCCAGAAGGCTAGCTAAGCTAAGAATAGAATAGAAAAGAATGAAAATAAAGGTCTGTGGCTCGGACAGAGAGAGCCAGCTCTGCTGTGAGTGGTCACTAATTCTAAACATCCACACAAGACCAATCACAGATCCACCTGTTGCATTCCACAGTAGCAGATAACCATTGTTTACATTTTGTTCCTGAGGCCTCTCAGCTTCTCAGGAAGAAAAATCCTAAGGAACAGATTTTCATAAAAAGATGTCTGTGACAGGAGGACAGGCAGGTGGCACGGCAGGGACTGGGAGCACTCCAGGGGTTTATGGGGTGAGCTGTTCCCTCACCCCTAGAAAAGGGCTCAGAAAGTCCCTGGGATCATCCCAGAGGGGCAGAACGCTGCGAGAGAGGAGCAAGGGCAGCTGGAGAGGAACCCTGGGAATGGAGCCATGTCACAGAAGTATTTCCTGAAAAATCATTTCATTTGGATCTTTCCTCCTGAGAAGCTCAGAAGCTTCAGCTTCTCCATGTTTTGCTGCTTTGGAATGTGATTTGGAGAACTGTTTACCCAGCATGTGAATTGTTTTTAGTTGATGACCAGTGGCAGCCACCCGTGTCGAGGCTGTGAGCAGACACAAGATTTTATTATCATTTTTTCCTTTCCTTTCAAGCTTTCTGATGAAATCCTTTCTTCTATTCTTTAGAATAGTTTTAATATATCATTTTCTTTTAATATAATATATATCATAAATAATAAATCAGCCTTCTGAAACATGGAGTCAGATTCTCATCTCTTCCCTCATCCTGGGACCATTAAACACCACCACAGAGCCACCTCTGGATCCATCCCTGTCCCTGCTGGTGACATGAGGGAAGGGACAGTGACACGAGCCATCCATGCTGCAATCCCAAAAACTGCTCCCAGCTCTCTTCTCTACACATGAGGGAAAATTAATTCCCCAAAAGTGTTGTCCAGCCCTGGCAGGGGTGGAGTGGTGATTCCTGAAAGATTTAAATCCATGGATGTGGCACCTGGGGACATGGCCTGGGCAGTGCTGGGAATGGTTGGACTCAGAGGGATTTTCCAACCTGAACAATTCTGGGATTCCATGAAATTAAAAAGGAATCATCTCTGGTTTATGACTGACAGGGCAGAAAGCTGTAGAATTAAAAAGGACTTGTCAGCCATGTGAGCTGGGATTCCTGGAGAAGGGAGGAAAGACAGCCCCAGCTGGGACAACACTGGGGGAGGTGGGATAAAAATCCACCAGGAATGACCCAGCTGAGTGAGAGAATCAGGGAATGGGTTGGGTTGGGTTGGAGGAGGCAACCTTAAATCCCACCCAGTTCCATGGGCAGGGACACCTCCCACTGCCCCAGGTGGATCCACGCCCCAGTGTCCAACCTGGCCTTGGGCACTGCCAGGGATCCAAGGGCAGCCACAGCAAATCTGGGAATTCCAGCCCAGCCCCTGCCTAGCCTCCCAGCCAGGAATTCCTTCCCAAGATCCCGCCATTTAGTCCATGGCATGAACATGAGGGCAGCTCTTTGCTGAGCCACAGCAGGGCAGCTGGAAATCACAAATCCCAAAATCATCATGGTTGGAAAAGATCACCCAGTCCAACCAGGGAGACCACTGCCTCATGTCCCCAAGTGTCACATCCACAGGGCTGTGAAACCCCTCAGGGATGGAGATTCCAAACTTCCCTGGGCACTTTCAATTCCTGACATCCCTTTACATGAGGAAATTCCTCCTAATGTCCAATCTAAACTTCCCCAGACCCTCCCCTGAGGCCGTTCCCTCTGCTCCTGTCCCTGTTCCCTGGGATAAGATCCCAAATCCCCCCGGCTGTGCCCTCCTGGCAGGAGCTGTGCAGAGCCACAAGGGCCCCCTGAGCCTCCTTTGCCCCAGGCTGAGCCCCTGCCCAGCTCCCTCAGGGATTGTGCAGCCCCTTCCCAGCTCCCTTGGGGATTCTGCAGCCCCTTCCCAGCTCTGTTCCTGCCCTGGCCACACTCCAGTCCCTCCAGGGCTCTCCCCAGCCGTGGAGGTGCCCCAGCAGTGCCAGCACAGGGGACATGGGCACTGCCCTGGCACTGCCACCCCAGAGCTGGCACATCCCAGGGGTCTCTTGCCCGCCTGGGCATCTCAGGCTCGTGTCCAGCCAGCTGATGCTCAAGGAGATAAAATTCCCAGGGCAGTGCTTGGGGACAAACAGGACATTAAAACAGCCCTGAGGTTCTGCTCAGGTTTAGTTCATTTGGGGCTGCTCTGAGAGCCCCAGCCACAGAAGGTGACACATCCAGAGCGAGCTAAAACAACAGCAAAAAGGACATTTGTGCAAAAACCCAACCCCAGAGCAGCCCAGAGCACACGAGAGGAGGAGGAGGGAGCAGGGAGGGCCCCGCTGGCTCCTCACGGGTTCAAAGGCCCAGATCAAATGGAGGATGAATGGCTGGAACCAAACCCACTCTCAGCACTCGATCCTCAGATGATTCCCCAGGGAAAGCCTCACAAAGAGGGCCCAGGGTTTCAGAAAGGCTTTTCTGGGGATGTTTTCGCCATGTGCTGTTTTATGGATCACATAGGCCTGGAAATCAAGGGAGATCCTGAGGGGACAGGGATGGACTTCACAGTGAGCCACCAACAAAGGGGCTGGTGTCAGAATGGGAACCAGCTCCGAGCAAACAAACAATGTGCAAGTCTTGGCTGGAAACAATGCCTTGAAAAAATAAAAAATAAAGTAAAAAAAGGGAAAAAAACCTACTTATTTCATGGTTATTCCAATGGATTCATCCAGCAATGAATTGCTGGGTGAATTCTCCTCAGGACATCCCTCAGGAAGGTGTTCCTGAGAGGAAACCCCATTTTGGGATGGAGACTTGGATGTGTCACGTAGGAACCCTGCTGGGAAATGCCACAGGTAGTTTTAAATGAATGAATAAATGTGTTAAAAGCAGCACTCAGCACCCTGACTTTGAGTTCTTCCCTTTTCTCCAGAAAATTTGCTTTTTTCTGACAGATTTTGTGATTTAGAACTTCAGCTTTTCCAGTCTCCCACACTCCTGAACACCAGGAAAGTTGTTCTCAATTCCCAGGAAGGTCCTTTTCACCAGGACAGGCTCCACTCAGCCAGAAAACCTCCCTGAGCTGCTTCCTGGGGACAAACCACAACTTTTTGGGAGCCACTCGACTCAGCCCCATTCCATAAGTGACTCTTCAGGGAGGGATTTTGGGTTTCCAGCCCAGGTCCCACCTTGTTCCTGCAGGAAGGGACGGCCCAGACTCTCCCTGACCTACTTGGATTTGTGGAGACGAACCAGGAAGGTTTTGACACTCCTGTGCCCCCCAAATTTGGAATATTTGTATTTTAAGGTACAGGAACCAAGCTGGATTCCCAAGCACCTCCAACCTCCTGCTCCCTTTTCCTGAAGCCTCTCCAGTTTCCTTCCTGCCCTTCTTCCAAATTCTCATGCTACAAATGGCTTTTTCCACATATTACTGAGCACTTTTCCAAGAACTGGGTAAATCCCACCTTCCTCTCATCTTTCTGCACAGTTTTAAAGGCCACAAGACTTATTTTAGCTCAAGAAACTGGGATAAGATCCATGAGGAAAAGCACTTTTCCTAATGAAAACAGGCTTGGCTTGAAGTTTCTTGGTGCTTTTAATGCACCACACTGGTGCAGTTTGGCCAAATAATTGCTAAACTTTCAATGACCAACCCATTGCTCCAGGAACAATTAAAATAAATATTTATATTTCAATTTTTTTTTTAAATAGAAATGTCCTGGATAAAAGGAGAAAAGACTGATGTAGTTCTGAGAATCCCAGAGTGCCTGAGATGGGGCCACCTAAAAAGAGCTGCCCAGGGCAGTGTCAGGGCAGGATTTTCACAGAACTCACAGGGTTGAAAGAGACCTTAAAGATACCAAAACCAACCCCAACTGAACCCTGGCACCCAGTGCCACATCCAGGCTTTGTTAAACACATCCAGGGAAGGTGACTCCACCACCTCCCTGGGCAGAACATTCCAGAACTTTATCACCCTGACGCCTCAGGTTTGAGCTTTTCTATTTTTCACATTCTGTGCTGCTTAATGTGTGGGTCTGGATTCATATTATGGGATGGTGAGCTCTGTGCACAGAGCAGGGAGACAAAACAATTCCTGCTCCAGCTGGGCACCAAGGACAAATGATCCAAATCTCAGCCCAAGAGCACAAACACCGTGGGCTGCAGAGAGAAAAACAAGCAGGGTGGGACTGCCTGGGCTAAAGCTGGAACGGGACAATGAACTGCAAGGTGCAAATGGAGCAGAACTGATCCAAGGGAGAGACCCCAGGAGCGCATTTTGGGACCATTTGGGGTCATCTTGGGTTCATTTTGGGTTCACTTTGGGACCATTTTGGTCCATCTTGGGTTCATTTTGGGACCATTTTGGGTGCAGCCCTGGCTGGGCTCTTGTGCTGCCCCAGGTGGATCCATTGAGAAGATCCTTTTAACAAATCCCTGCTTTATTCTTTAACTCTGTTCTGCCTCTGTTCCAGCTCAGCCTTCCCAAGGCATCAACCTTTCCTGTAGAACACTTTTCTGTGCTATCCAGCCTGTATTTTCCCTCACTGTAAGAGCCTAAATGAGGGATGTGGGACTCCAGGGGCTCTCCAAAATGCAGTTTATTGTATCCAAGGTGTTACAGCAGTTCAGGGCTTTGGGTGACAGAGCTGTCAGCTCTGTGGTGCCCACAGCTGTCAGCTCCAGCTGCAGGCAGGCCTGGAGACCCTTTGGTTTTGGTTACAATGCATTCTATACTTTTCTTTTGGTTACAATGCATTTTATACTTTTCTTTGCTGACCATCTCAATACAGTAGAACCAATCTATACCTTAACTTTTACCTATAGCCTATCATAACTACTGTAATTACCATATTCATGTTACTGTTCTCCAATCACTAAAAGTCAGTACATCACAGTTTAAGCTAGAAGTTGTTTTTCAGTTTTCTTGCAGTGCAAAATTCTGAGACCTTTTTTCTGCTTGCCACATTTGCTGCCTTGTTTGCCTGTGCTCTCTTACTGTTTGGCAAAATCATCTTCTTGTTTGGGGTGGGTTTATCTTTTGCTCTAAGCCATAAAACCCCTTCTAACAAACACACCCTTTGCTTCCTTGGTTATCCACTGAGACTGGCTCAGCAGTTCTTTTCTTCTATATCAAAACCTGCTTTCATTTCTATTCCTTCATCAGACTCTACATTTAAAAATCTTTCTGCCAAACATCTGTGAGAGTTTCTTGTCAAACTTTCATCCTTCCCAACATCTCACCTTGAGTTTCTGGGCCTCTCCCCGGACCTTGAGCAGCTCGGTGATGGAGTCCACGAAGCCCTGGTAGTGGAAGTTGCACATCTTCTCGATCTCGCGGTCGTGGTTGCGGATCCGCGCCTCCAGCTTCTCCATGAAGCGCCCGTGCTCCTCCCCATCGTACACAGACCTGCAGGGACAGCCAGATCAGCACCCCAGAGCAGCACTGCCCCAGATCAGCACCCCCAGAGCAGCACCCTCTGCTCTGCTGCCAGGAGCATCCAAAACCTGACCCCAAAAATGTCCTCTGCTCATCCCAGATCAGCACTCCCAGCCTAGCACCTCCAGATCAGCACCCCTTGATCAGAAACCCCAGCCCAGCACCCCAGATCAGCACCCCTTCAACAGCATTCCCAGATCAGTACCTTCAGCTCAGCACCCCCAGCCCAGCACCCCCAGCTCTGCTGCCAGGAACATCCAAAACTTCACCCCAGAAATGTCCTCTGGACACCCCAGATCTGCAGCCCCAGCTCTGCTGTGAGGATCCACCAGGAACATCCAAAATCTGACCCCCAAAACACTCTCTGGACACCCAGCTCAGCACTCCCAGTTCTGCTGCCAGGAACACTCAAAACCTGACCCGACAAATGTCCTCTGGACACACCAAATCAGCACCGCCAGCTCAGCATTCCCAGCCCAACATCCCCAGCTCTGCTGCCAGGAACATCCAGAATCTGACACCAAAAATGTCCTCTGGACACACCAAATCAGCACCGCCAGCTCAGCATTCCCAGCCCAACATCCCCAGCTCTGCTGCCAGGAACATCCAGAATCTGACACCAAAAATGTCCTCTGGACACACCAAATCAGCACCTTCAGCTCAGCACCCCCAGCTCTGCTGCCAGGATCTACCAGGAACATCCAGAACTTCACCCCAAAAGGAACAAAAAGGAATGTTCCTCACCCAGGAATATCCAAAACCGGACCCCAAAAACATCCCCTGGACATCCCAGCTCAGCATCCCCAGCTCTGCTGCCAGGATTTATGAAGAACATCCAAACCTGACCCCAAAAACAGCCTCTGGACATCCCAGTTCAGCATCTCCAGCTTGGCTGCCAGGATCCACCAGGAACATCCAAAACCTCGCCCCAAAAGGAACAAAAATTAACGTTCCTCACCCAGGGACATCCAAAACCCGACCCCAAAAACGCCCTCCTGGGACAAAGGTACAGGTCATAAACCAGACATTAAATTAGATTTTAAAATGTTTCTATTCCAAGTTTACTTTTCCTTTTTCACCATTTTGTGTTCCCAGATAAACCAGACGAGCCCAAACCAGGCCTGAAATGTTTCTATTCTACCTTTTTTTCTCCTTTTTCCATCATTTTGGTGTTCCCTAAGAGACAAACCAAGCCCAAAATGTTTCTATTACAACCTTTCTTTTCATTTTTCCATCATTTTGGCATCTTCTGAGAGACAAGAACAACTCAGGAGGACCTGAAATGTTTCCATTCCAAACCTTTTTTTTTTCCTTATCCCATCTCTCCCCACCCTCCTTCAGCTTCAAATTAAATATAAGGATGGAAGTTAAACCCAAATTTCTGTCCCACAAATGTTTCCCTGGAAAGCAGAAGGACCAAGTCCCACTCTGGGAATTCCAGGGTTGTTTTCCTGCGTTTTTACACCAAATATGGATATTTTTAATGGACTGTGGCAATCCCACCCTTGGCCCTGCCTTTGGGAAGTTTTGGCTCCTAAATCTGAATTCCCTCCCAGCCCAAGAGTTAAGCTTGGAGTGAGGTTTATGGATTTGAGCTTGGGTCAGAGGGACAAATTAGGGATAGAGCAGATTCCAGGCAGCCTTTGGAGAGAAAAGACGGTAATGACAGAGAGAAAAGATGGGAATGAGAGAGAAAATATGGGAATGACCAGAGAGAAAAGATGGGAATAACCAGAGGGAAAATAGGAATAACCAGAGAGAAGAGATGGGAATGACAGAGAGAAAAGATGGGAATGACCAAAGAGAAAAGATGGGAATGATAGAGAGGAAAGATGGGAATATGAGAGAAAAAAGATGGGAATGACCAGAGAGAAAAGATGGGAATGACAGAGAGAAAAGATGGGAATAACCAGAAAGAAAAGATGGGAATGACCAGAGAGAAAAGATGGGAATGACCAGAGAGAAAAGATGGGAATGACCAGAGGAAAGATGGGAATGAGCAGAGAGAAAAGATGGGAATAACAGAGCTGACCAAGATGTGACAATGAAATATTAAAAAATCATTAATCAGTGATCATTAAAAAATCATTAAGCAGTGAGGAGCAACATTCCAGAGGGAACCCCAGGAATGCAGGTGGACACAGGAAATCCTTTCTCCTGCACTGGGATCTGTGCTCTCCCTTTGGAGAATCCCATCCCTAAAATTCACAAAGGCCCCCAAGAAACCGGAGAAAACCCCAAGACAGAGCTAAATGCTGGAGAAAATCTATTTAGTTATTATTCTTCCAGGCCATTTCAGTTCTGCAGGTTCAGTAAAAGATTCTCAGTGTCAAAACCAAAATTCCAGAATTGTAAAATCTTGTTAAATTCAGTGTGAGAGAAGCCAGACACCCAGAGCAGGGGATGGAGAGGGCATTGCCTTGTCCTGCTCAGTCTAAAAGCGCAAAAAAGAGAGAAAACCTCCTCAGACTCCAGGAGAGGCAGCACTGGAGCGGTGCTGCTGGATTTTCATGCAAGTTTGGAGGAGTTTTGGCTGCTGAAATGTGAAATTTGGAGCCCGAGTGCCATCTAGTGCTGCGTGGCCTCCTAGCACGGTCCCAGTGACTCCAAAGATCTCGGCACAAAAATGAGAATTCCAATAAAAAATAAAGGTGGATAAGTTGTGTCTGCACTCAGGGATAAACTGAAACAATAAAAACCCCACAGCAGTCATGATGTGTTTGTACTCAAAGGCAAATTTGGGATTTACATCTGAAAATGGGACAAAAACCACCTCAAAATTACTGAAAATGTCCAGGAAAAATTCCCTTTGGAGGTGGCAAAGCTAAGGAATAAATATCTGATTACTAAACCCCTTTGGTTATTAGAAATTCTATTATTTTATTCTTTTTTAGCCAAACTTCAGTGTGGAAAAAATAAAATTTGGTGTCAGACAGGAAGGAAACACCAGCACACGATGGGAAGCTCTTCCCTCCTGAGCTCTCCTGCTCCTCCAGGATCATTTTTCCAGAAAAATCCAGCCCTTCTGAGCTCTCCTGCTCCTCCAGAATTCCTTTTCCAGGAAAATTCAGCTCTCCTGACCCTCCAGGATCCCTTTTCCAGGAAAATCCAGTATTGAACCTTCCCTTCTGATCTTTCCTGACCCTCCAGAATTCATTTTCCACAAAAATCCAGCCCTCCTAAGCTCTTCTGCTCATCCAGGATCATTTTCCCAAGGAAAATCCAGCCCTGGCTCTTCCCTCCTGAGCTCTCCTGCTCCTCTAAGATCATTTTTCCAGGAAAATCCAGTCTTGAACCTTCCCTCCTGAAAATCCAGCCCTTCTGAGCTCTCCTGACCCCCAGAATTCCTTTTCCAGGAAAATCCAGCCCTTCTGAGCTCTTCTGACCCTCCAGGATCTTTTTCCAGGAAAATCCAGTCTTGGTCCTTCCCTCCTGAGCTCTCCTGACCCTCCAGGATCTTCTTCCAGGAATATTCAGCCCTCCTGGCTCTCCAAGATCATTTTTCCAGGAAAATCCAGTCCTGGCTCTTCCCTTCTGAGCTCTCATGCTCCTCCAGAATTCCTTTTCCAGGAAAATTCAGCCCTCCTGAGCTCTCCTGCTCCCCCAGGATAATTTTTCCAGGAAAATCCAGTCTTGAACCTTCCCTCCTGAGCTCTCTTGACCCTCCAGGATCCTCTTCCCAAAGAAAATCCAGCCCTGGCTCTTCCCTTCTGAGCTCTCCTGACCTTCCAGAATTCATTTTCCAGGAAAATCCAGCTCTTCTGTTTCTCCAGGATCCTTTTCCAGGAAAATCCAGCCCTGGTCCTTTCCCTTCTGAGCTCTCCTGACCCTCCAGAATTCCTTTTTCAGGAAAATTCAGCCCTCCTGAGCTCTGCTGCTCCTCCAGGACCATTTTTCCAAAACCGGGATGGAACCAGAGCCAGGCCAGCCCCAGCTCCAGGCACTCCAAAGGTGCAGGATGGACATTCCAGAATTTTGGGATGGTGCTGCCTCCTCCCACAGGAGAGCTCAGAGAATCCCTGGTGCCTCTCAACTCAAAATAATCAACATTAATTACTCGGTTTGGGGGTGCAAAGAACGAACCTCGCCCCAAAACACCCCAAAATCCCAAATTCCGCCATCGCCTTCCTCCACGCTGCTTCCCACCCTTCCAACTTCCTCAGCCTTGGAAAATCCTTGGAAAATAAAATTTCCATATTTAAAATTTTTGGTCCTTTCTCAAATACAAAAGTTTTATGAACACACCAAGTTTGGCCAACAATGGTTTTTTAACCTGTTGAGTTTGGGGGTTGTTTTTTTTCATATTCACAATTTTGGTGACTCTCTCAAATCCAGGAGTTTTAGGAACACACCAAGTTTGGCAAATAATGATTTTTTAATCTGTTGTTGGGGTTTTTTTCCCCGTATTTAAAATTATTGGTGCCTCTCTCAAATACAGGAGTTTTATGAACACGCTAAATTTGGCAAATATTAATTTTTTAACCTGTTGAGTTTGGGGTTTTTTTTTTCCATATTCACAATTTTGGTGCCTCTCAAATACAGAATTTTTATGAACACAGCAAGTTTAGAAAAAATTATTATTTAACCTGTTGGGGGTTTTTTTTCCATATTTACAATTTTTGGTGCCTCTTTCAAATACAAAAGTTTTATGAACACACCAAGTTTGACAAATAATGATTTTTATCCTGTTGAGTTTGAGTTTTTTCCCCATATTTACAATTTTTGGTGCCTCTCTGACACACAGAGGTTTTACGAACACACCAAGTTTGGAAATAATGATTTTTAACCTGTTGTTTTGGGGGTTTTTTTTCCATATTTTCAATTTTTGGTGCCTCTTTCAAATACAAAAGTTTTATGAACACACCAAGTTTGACAGATTTCCTCATTTTCCCATCCCTCAATCCCACAGAAAGGTTTCTCCACCCCTGACTAATTAATCCAGGCTAACACAATTTAGAACATCAGAAAGA